ATAAAAGAATGCTGAAAATGCATGGGGATATCGTCCTGTAAAATCACAAGCTGTGACTTTCTTCTGAAATTATTTCTTGTTAGTGGCTTATCTCCAAAGAATGCATCTCTGTTTTAGATTACATTGAACCAAAGTTCCTAGGCCCCCACCCACTCCTTATTGCTTTTCTGTTTGGCACTGGTATTCCTTTAACACTTGGTAAATTATTATTGAGTGTTGAGTGTCAGAGATAGTTCTCAGCACTGAGTAAACACCCCAGGTGTGGTTGCCCTTGTGGTTAGATTTGGTGTGTGTGGGGGATGGGACCTAAGTAAACAAAATTGTGATAAATTTTATAAAGAAAACAAATAGTGTCTTGAGTAGAGAATAAGATGAAGATTATTGAAGATTATTTCTCATCAGGTTGTTTCAGAATGTTTTTTGGAGGATAATATTTAAAACCTGAAGAGTAAGGAGCTAACTGTGCAATGTGTGGAAAAGAGAGTGTCTGAGGAGGAAGGAAGAAATTGCACAAGGATCTGAGCTCGATTTCTTTGGCAAGTGTTCAAGGAGCTGAATGAAATCTGGTATACAGGAATATAATGAACAGAAACAATGGCGCATATGAGTTTGACCTTAGGATCAGAAGGATGTCACAGTTTCTTGAGATTTTGGAGCTCATAGTTAAGACTTAAAATGTTGGGTAGATATCAGAAAATTTAAAATTAAAAAGAAACATGATCAGATTTAGATATTCACCAGGGTATATATATTTTGTAAAAACAGACAGTGTGTTTTATAATTTGCAGTAGGATTTATTTATGAGTAAATAGGAAGAGATGGTGACTTAGACAGTAGTGAAAATGGAGACAAATGAATTGGTTTGAAAAATATTTTGAAGGCAGAATTGCCAAGATTTTCAAATTGCTTAGGGAGAAAGTTTCAGAAGAAAGGTTAGACAATAAATTCTGGTTTTTTTTTCTCATTTAAACAATAGATTTATAGTTTCCAACAGAAGGAAGATGGATATTGGTGGAAGAAGGAGCCCGAATCTCTCTTAGTTAACTTTCCTTTAGAGTTACACATGGCTATGTATGTGGGACTTACTTTAACAATATAGGTAGCTTGCTTTCTGTTCATGTTACATCTTGACACAATGCTTTAACTATGGTTCTCATAAGAAATGAATATGGCAAGGCTGTCATTTCCCTCATTCTAGGTGGAAGGCTAATGTGACTTAGGATCTCAGCATTCAATGAGTTTCTGATTAATTTAATCTTAAGTGAGAGACTTTGGCCGCTTATTGCTCATGGTTTATTTATTTTTTTGTACCTGGAATTGAACTCGTGACTTTGAGCCTGCCAGGCACTTGTGCCACTGGGTTATATCCCTGGCCTGCTCATGTTTTAAATCAAATAATGTATTCAAGTGAGCACCTACGTTTTATCCTACCGCAGTTATCCTTATTTAATTTCATGAACTTAATTTAATTCACTGCTCCAGTCTGTTGACATTTTAAGTTTCTGTTTGGTGTCAAGGGAATTTGTTCCTTTAACATCTCATCAGGAAATGGATAGACTCTTGTATGTTGTCATTCAAATCACATGTAAAAATATTGAACAAGTTTAAACTGAGAACAAATCCACTTATGACATTAGAGATATCCCCTCAGAGTGGCATCATTTCATTAAACCTCCCTCTTTTCATGTGGTCACTGAACTCCACTGATTAATACTAAATTTTCCTAAGTAATGAATTATTAACCATACTGCTGAATGCAGGCTTATCATACCATGGATATGTGAGGGTGAAATATCTTTTACCCTGTTACAAATGAGGTAATATCTGATGTCACTGGCTTGGTTTCAACTTACAGTGTTCCTTACTTAAATGTTACCAAATGTCTGTAAAAAATTCCCTAAAATTATTGAAGACCAGTGTTAAGTTTATGGTGCCACAAGTGATAGTATATACATTTATTATTGGAAATAAAATATTTATTATGTCATTACCAGTCTTCTGTTAACTTTTTCTTCTTCATGATGTCATAGATCAATCAATAAGTGTTCTCACCCTTTCTTTTTCTACTTAAATTATATATATATCACAAAAAAGCTTGGTTTCCTTACCTGGGTAGATTCTTTACACTATAGTTCATTTACAGTTTTGAATATCTGTTCAACTAGATCTTTTGAACTTTTGCCATGAATTTTTTATCAATGGAAGGAAAGAAAAATGATTATAAATGATGACAAATAATGACAATGGATACATTAAGAAGCATAAATGCATGAAGGAAGGATACTTTTCAAAGAAACATACTAAATCTTTGTTTAATTTCTTTTAAATTTCATGAGTCCATAAATTACCATTTTTGTAATAGAGATTGGATATGTAGATTTGACAGAGATACTTTTTTTGTTTTCTTGTTCCTTCAGGAAAATATAAAGGAATAAATGTTAATGAAAATGGTATCTTTGAGGAGCCTCATTGTTTTCATGGGTAGGATAAAAGTGTAATGAGAATAAAAAGGGGTATGTTTGAATTGCATTGTTAGGAAGGAGAAACAGTGGTAATGAAAATAATAATTGGGAAGTGGGAGGATACAAGAATGTTGCTTTATTTTGATGAGGATTTATAGCAGAATTTGAAATAGAAAAAGCAATAGCAGTTGATTGTCACAGATTTAATTGCAGAATACAAATAGTATTTTATAATTTTCCCTATTTGGTTATGTTTTGTTTTGTTTTGTTTTTTGAGACAGGATCTCATAGTTCAGACTGGTCTTGAACTGACAGCATAGCACAGGCTGGCCTTGAACTCACAGCAATCCTCCTGCCTCGGTCTCCATAGTGCTGGGATTATACCCAGCTACCATATTCGCTTAATGGAAAGAATAGGATTTAAAAGAAAATAGAAGAAACTATACTTAAAATTGTGTTGTATTTTGATAACATATTTTAATTATGAGTTATTATAATTATTTTTGGCAAACTTAAAATATTCTAAACATAAAGAGAATATATGAGCTCAAAAGTACCTAAGTTGCTTTCCTAGCAGAAAACATTATTTTATCACATAAACACTGAAAAGAAACTGTTGTATAAGCATTGATGAGTAAAGGATTTTTCACTAAAGAGTGAAACTGGAGACTGATTCTAGGAACAGATCATTCTTAGCATCTATAACAAACAGCAAAATATCCTAGCACTGTGCGTTACTCCATAACAATAAATTGTTTTCAATAAATAAATTAGCAAATGTCACATTAAAATGTAAAAGAAAACCTAATATTTAATTAAGTATATCTGTATTGTCTGGTACAAAAAAAATGGCAGAAAATTGTATATATGAAAATTAGAAAATATGTTGCAGTGTGATTTTTTTTGTTACTGTAGAATAAAGGGGATTTGAATAAACAGACAAGTCAAAGTAGTGATGGAAATGTGAAAATGTACTTTTATTTTCAAAATCCTACCAGCTGTGAGATATTAGAGAATTTACCTGACTTGGTTTTGGATGAAGGTGGCACCATTCACTAAAACTAGAAATAAATACAGTACTAATTGATTTAGAAGAAACACATCACCCTAATTGCTTTGAGTAAAGATGTTTGTGAGAATTTCTAGGGTGAAATAGCACAGTTCTTGGTTGTTTCGTGTGCTAAATGAATTCATATCTGTAAAGAGATGAAAGCAAAAGCAAATGATAAGCGTTATGTAAGGAGTCCATAAACAAACCCCCAAAAGCAAGCATTGCAGTAAGATCTATCTGAATATAAATATTTGCAAGACTTTAGAATTTAAATCAAAATGTTCATACAGAAAAGTATAATATCTAGGAAAAATGTTTCACTATACAAACATATACTTCCTTCTGAGGTTCTGAGCTTTTCCTTGGGTCAAACTATTCATTGCTTCCTAGTAATCTGCTCATTTTTCTTTTTTGGTAACAAATCCCCAAATTACCATTATATTCAATGGCCCCTATTTTTTTTCCAGCAAAGCACTACATTCTTTACCTTGCTTTTTGTAGCTCTGAGTGGCCAAGCGAATTTTATTAGAAGTTGTTAGAAATTCTAGGAAAGCTCCTTAAAACATGTGCTCTGTACCCCTTTGCAATTTCTCCTTCCTTTATCTTCGTGACTGAAATATCTTGACTGAAATGTAGGCGTTCTATGGCTGAAATGTAGGCGTGGTGTTTAGAGCTCTAGTACCTGTCTTGATTCACAAGAAAAGTTTCCAGACAGAAGTCACGCAGACTCACAGATAGAGTTTACCTGGGAATTCTGGAAGGGCTTGAGTCCCTGGGGACCTTGTAAACCTCTCTAACAGTCTGCATGGACTGTGGAGAGGAAAAAGGACACAATGTGATGCAAACAAACCTGTAGACACTCTGTTCAGTTTGCATTTGAAAGGAGCCCCTTGAAACTCCTCTTGAATTTTTCTCTCACTCATGTCTGATCCACTTGGACTTTTAGATTTATTAATCTGGTCCCATTTTCTTCTCCTTTCATTCTTAATATCTTCCTTTGCCTCTGATGTTACTGCATTTCAGTGCTCTGGAAATAATTTTTTGTCTCTGCCTTGTTCCGAACCTCCCTTCAGGCCTTCTAGGGCACACGGTCTTATACCTGTTCATTTGCTACTTCTGGGACCCTCCTTATGGCCCTGTTTCTCCCTTCATCTCCTATATGCCATTGTCCAAATTAGATCACTATGGGCTGGGAATTTAGCTCAGTGGCAAAGCACCTGCCTGGCAAGCACAAGGTCATGAGTTCGGTTCCTGGTACCAGAGAAAAACCAAGAAAAAAAAAAACAAAAAAAACAAACTAGATCACTAACTGTTAGCAGAAAGATAAAATCACACACAGTGGCTCTCTTTTTTTTTTTTTTTTTCTGCTGTCTATCTACATCAAAATTTATTTTTACATGAAAATAAATAATAATAAAATATATGTGACTGCTTTTGAAAACTCTAAAAAGAGGCAATGCTATTAATGCTTTTGTTTGTTTTCATAGGATGTGTCTCCTGCAGATGCAAAAATATCTATTGAACAGAGAAGAGATGTTTCCCCTCTTTTATCTGAATTAAAAACAAAAGATATTAGCAAGAAATCAAAAAAATCAAGACATCTCACTCAAAAAGGTTAGTTACATAAAATTTAAATTATATTTGAATAATTTTGATGAAAGTATATATATATAAAATTGATGAAGATTAATACCTTGATAACAGTCTGATTTGGGGTAGAAGTTAGGAATTAGGAAAAACTGGTTAGAAGGAATTACACTGAACTGATAGTTCTGTTACCATGCAGTTATATCAGCATTGTACTTTAACAAATGTGTGAAGATATCAGATTAATCAACTGTGAATATAGTGTTGTTATAAAATGAATATATCCATGTATTTTCATGTTTTGGCCATCAATATTACTGGTTTATCTTTTCTTTATTATGTTTTTTTCTGATAAAATTTTATTCTGTAAGAAAAACATTATTTTCTTTATATTTGCTTTTAGGAATAATTGTAGTTATTTTTATAAAATCAGTTGAGAATCTTAGTGGTTTTCCCAGGAGATTCTCTTAAATTTTAAATCATGAGATATTTCTCTTTTTAAAAACTCATGGTGACCTCCAGTTGTGGTGGCACACGCCTGTAATCCCAGCACTCGGGAAGCTGAGCTAGGCGGATCCTTGCGAGGCCGGCCTGGGCTACAAAGTGAGCTCAAGGCCAGCCTGAACTGCACAGGGTGACCCTGTCTCAAAAAGATAAAAAACAAAGCAAAACAAAGCTAAAAACTCATGGTGGTATCCTTGCCCTTGTTTTAAATTAATTTTATGGGTATTCTTTTGATGTACATAATGATCACATTCATCATAGGGTATTTGTACCTGTACATAATATATCTGGATTCTTTTTATCCCTTTTTTATTTTCTCTTCCTGCATGACAGCTACTGAAATTCTGTTTCTCATTTGCCGGTGACTATGTACCCATCAGTTCTCCTGTTTTGTGTATTCCATAGCTCCATATCTTTTATTAAATGTGGTATGATTTTTATAAAACTTAAATTCTTAGGCTTATCAACAAAAATGTATGAAAGGAAAAATAATATTTCCATATTCCATATCACCCCCTCACTGTTCTTACTACCGCAAACAATTTAATTCAATAATTGTAACCAAATCTTGCAATAATTTTATGCCCTAATTTTATGCCTACTCAGATAAAATTATTATTCAAATTTAGATATTATCTACAAATATTTATGGTAAAAGATGGAGATTTAATTATCTTATAAATCTTCCCTAACACATACCCTTACATATTACCACCTTTATTTTCCCAATAGAATTATATCATCATTACTTGGGGGCTAATTCACATTTAGTGTTTTAACTGTGATTGAAAGTACTGTTTACAGGTTAGCCACACAATATGTTCAGAATATGTTTACTTTCTTACACCTTGTTTTTGTTGGAAAGTTATTTGAAAATCTCTCATAGTTAAACTACCACTAATATCAAGTATACACATTCTTAGAGGATATAATCCTGCTGGATCCCTTTATTTTACTATTAAGTTAACTATTCTGCTTTCTCTCACAGCCATTATCTTGACTTTTGTTTTCTACTGTAACATGAAGAATCCATCTGACTTTCTGCTGTGTTGGCACCATTGTTTCCAAGACTTCTATAATTTCATTCAACTTTTCTCACTGATTTTGTTAGGTTAAGTTTTCTCTATTCAATTTCATGTGCATGTTAAAAGTGACAATTTTTATTCTTCAACTCTTGGTATTTTTCTTATACTATTTTGGTTTTGAAGATACCTAATGTAATTTGTAATCATTCAAACTATCTTAACTCTACATTTCTATGCTATCAGATACATCCTTATTGTTATGTAGCCCTCAAAGTCTCCAGAACTGCTTTATATTATTCCTAAGGGTAACATTTGAGCCATTAAATACTAACTCCCATCTTCTCTAAACTCATCTCTTTCCAGCCACCATTGCACTTTCTGGTTATTTTACATATCTCATAGAAGTGGAGCCATGTAATACCGGTCCTGATGTGATTTACTTGTTTCACTTAGCACTGTATCTTCAAGGATATTTTATATTATAACATGAATCCGAATTTTCTTCCTTTCTAAGGTAGAATATTCTTATATTGTATACACTATTCATTTCTTATACATTCATTCTTTAATGGATATTTGGGTTGCTTCCATGAATAACATTTCTATGAACATGAATGTAAAACTATATCTTTGACACTTCCAGTTGTTTTGTGTATACTTAACTAAAATTAGAACTCCTGGATCATAGGATAATTCTTTTTGTTTTGCTATGTTTTTTGAGACAGTCTTAATTTTTTGCTCAGGCTATAAAAGCTATACTCTTACATTTCCACCAACAGTGCACAAGGGTATTAGGTTTTTTGTTTTTGTTTTTGTTTTTGTTTTGGTACCAGGAATCAAACTCAGGACCTTGCACCTGCGAGGCAGGCCCTTGTGTCACTGAACTATATCCCTGTCCTAGGTGTTTTACATCACGGCCAATACTCATAATTTTCTCTTTTATTTATTGTTAGCAATAAAAATAGGCGTTCTAATAGGTGAAAGGTGCTTTTCATTTTGGTTTTAATTTTTATTTCCCTAATTATTGGGGATATCAGTCATCATTGTCTTTTCATGTACTTCCTTGGCTATTTGGAAATATTATTTGGAGAAATGTACACACAGGTCCCTAAACCATTCTAAAATTTTTTGTTGGCCCTCACGTTGTTGGGTGGTTGGATTTATTTATGTATTGTGGTACATCAGCCTCTTACCAAATAAATGACTTGCAAATATCTCATCTCCTTTGTGGATTTTCTTTCCACTCTGTTGATAGTGTCTTTTTTCTTTTAGATTTGGATCAAGTCCAGACTTTTCATTCTTTTTTAGACTTTTTGTGTATGTGTGTGTGTGTGATACCAAGAAATCACAAAGAACACCAACATCATAGAGCTCTTCCACAATTTGGCATTTTTAGCTCACTGATTTGGTCCTCGATTTATTTTGGATTAATTTCTGAATGTATGTAAATTAAGATACTAAATTAGCGTTTTTATATTGTTACCTAGTTTTCCCTGAACTGTTTGTTGAGGAGATGCTACGTATTCATTAATACCTTGAAACTCTTCCTGAAATTAATTTGACAATGTATGACATAGTATATATCTAGGTTCTCTATATTGGTCTATGTGTTAATTACTTTCCTGTTGTTTCTGAGACAAAATATTGATGCCCAAAATTAAATAAGGAAAGATTTATTTAGCTCACAGTTTGTGGAGTTTCAATCTGTATCAACTGGCTCCAAGACAGGGTGGCATGGCTGAGGGGCAACAGTTCAAGGCAGCAGAAGACAGCAAAAGCAATAAGAGCAAAAAAGGTGGAGAGCAAGCCTCTTTTCCTCCCTTACATTGTATGCTGGCTACCTGCCATTGGGTGGGTGCAGCACACACTATATCCCTGCCTTTCTCTTGCATAGGCTCAGGATGTTTACAAAGAGAGGACCATGGCTCCCTGCTGAGTTACTTAGGTAACCTTCTAAACTTCTCAAATTGACACAGTGAACAACATCCTAGAGCAGTAAGAGCATGTCCTCTACACCCTAGAACATAGAATGCTGAGTTACTTAGCTTAGCTTCTAAACTTCTCAGATTGACACAGTGAATAGACCGTAATGGTGTACCTGTATAATGTTATAATATATACTTTTTAAAACTTAATTGATATATAAAAACCTAAAAATTGTACCATATAACATTACATACCATGTAGTGTTTCAATATATGTACACACTATGTAATGTTTAAATTAGACTAAACACACATATCTCTTCAAATATTAATCATTTCTCTATGGTGAAAACTTTGAAAGTACTTTTCTATAACTTTTTAAAATGTAAAAGTAATTTTTGAAATGTAAACATTATTATTGTGTTCTAGTCATCCTGCCGTGCAGTAGCATATGGTAACTTCTTGTTCTTAGCTACTATGACTACATGTCCTTTGTTCAAACTGTCCCTATCCTCCACCCTGCCTCACTGTCCATGGTGTCTCCTAGCCATCTTTCCATGCTTAACTTTATAAAATTTTGGGGCTGGGGATTCAGCTCAGAGGCACAGCACCTACTTGGCAAGCGTGAGGTTGTGAATTTGATTCCCAGTACCAGAAAACAAACAAACAAACAAATAAATAAATAAATAAAATTTAATTTTTAGATTACACATGTTAACACAGTCAGGTGGTACTTGTCTTTCTGCAACCAGGGTTATTTCACATAACACAATGATTTCCAGTTCCACTTCTTTTTTTTATTTTAAAAAATAAAAGAAGGAAAACATATTAACAAACAGACATCCATTTACAAAATACCATAAGAACAATACAAACAAAACAGAGCTACAGACAAAGTTGTAGAAAATTAACCATGGTTGTATATTACTTATTGATCCAGTTTCATTTCTCTTGTTGCAAATTACAGGGTTCAATCACTTTTTATGGCTGAATGGTATTCAACTTTTTTTTTTTTTTTTTTTTTTTCCGGTACTGGGAACCGAACTCATGACCTTGTGCTTGTCAGGCAGGCACTGTGCCACTGAGCTAAATCCCCAGCCCCTCAACTTTGAATATGTACATTTTGTTGATCCATCATCTCTTGATAGTCACTTAAATTGTATATATTTCTTGGACATTGATAAGAGTAATGCAATGAACATGGGAGTACAGGCATCCCCTTGACATACTGACTTTGTTTCCTTTAGATTTGTACCCAAAAATGAAGTTACTGGATCATATGACAGTTCTATTTTCAATTTTCAAGAACCTCCATACCATTCTATATAATGCCTGTACTAATGTACATTTCCAATCACAGTATGAAAAGATTTCCTTTTGACCACATACAGTGCAGTACTTGTTACTTTTAGATTTCTTTTTTTGTAAAACTAATTCTGACAAGAGAGGTTATATCTCATTCCAACTTTGATCTGCATTTCTCTGATGATTAATGGTCCTGAGCATTTTATTGTATACCTGCTGACTGTTTGCATGTTTTCTTTTGAGAAATGTCTATTGCCTATTTTTAAAT